GGGGGGGGGGGGGGGCATGAGAACTAGATGGCTGAGAATGAATTAAAAATGAAAATGAAGTTATAGCTTCAGTGATATGCCATTTTGCCAGCTGTTTTAGACATTTAGTGAGCTTAAAGAAATTCACAATGTGGATTAAAATAATAGGGTTAAGCAAAGGCTTGGAATGTGACATCACTCCTCACCTACATAAATGAATAAATCAAAAAATCTGTAAACCACACCTTTGCTCAGTCAAATCAAGCTGTAAGTACAGCTTGTAGGATGGAAGGGAGTAAGGAAACTTAAGGGAAAGCCTTTATCAGGATACTCAACTTTCAATATTAGAGGATGAATGGATTGAAATGCTTGTACATACATAGTACATATGTTCTTGTTAGTCTTCTATTTCATATCAGAAGCAGCAACCAATAGCATGAACCTAATAAGGGAGACCTCTGGACCAGCACCAATCAGTGTTAAAGCACCATTGGAAGATGTATAACATGGGGAAACAAAACATCCCAATTTCTTTGAAGTTCCTGGTTGTTATAGTAACTTGAACTGAATAAGTTTTTAGAAGATTTTTCCTGTTGAATATTTTTCATACTTATTGGAACTGTCAACAAATACTTTTCATACTCATGGAAGGTTTCCATTTAATTGCCAAACATGCAAAATCTAGACAACTGCAGATTTCACATTTCTTCACTCCTTTTTATGATATATATCACACCAATTATGCCAGAAAGTAATGTGTTTTTTTAATATCCAGGTGATGATTCGAAAACGCTAATGCTTGTTCATGTCAGTCCCCGAGAAGAAGATTTGTGCGAGACATTGTGTACATTAAATTTTGCAACACGAGTTAAAAGGATTCAACTAAGAAATGAAGAATCATCAGTAAGTCACTGAAACAATCAACTGAGCCTAATATTGGAATCTGTGCAACTTCTTCACATTATTACTACATATATGATACAACATATCTCTTTTCATTTCCTGTCATGTAATTGATGTTTATGACTAGTTCAAAATATCGTCCTGACTGACAAAAAACTATAGGAATGTTGAAACGGTGAACATCTGCTTCGACACAAAATATACTTGCTGAAATCACAACCACAAACAACCTTACTAGGAATGCGAAATCTAGGCCATTGATGACCCATCATTAATGGCATCAATATAAATAAGATTGTTTACTGATTTAAATTTCAAACACGGAAGAGCATAGACCAACATCTTCATAATCCATATGCTAACTGTCATTACATTTGGCTCCACCTGGTCTAATACTTTCTTTTTATAACCGTGGTGTCCTAGACAGCTTGCGCGCACCTCGACTAATTCAACCGGGTACCTGCTATCTCCCACCAGCACAGGTACCAGAGTTAGACAGATAGGAAGAAATCACCTAATTAATACTTAAACTGCTGGAGACGAGAGATGCTTATTTGCTCATAATATGTGTTCAATATACCCCCTTTTATCTGGGCTAAGTTCTCTTCTATCCTAAGATCAATGGAACTTTTAGGTAAGGTGTAATGACAAATTTAACAGGAATGGAACAGGTTGATAGGTACAGATGTTAGGGGGTAATGTTGGTTGAGATGAGCAATACCAAGTTATAGTTGAACTATAAGCACTTTCACTTGGCATTATAAGAAAGTAAAGTTGCACAGTCACTAATAGCTTGAGCTTTTAGATCGGATGAACCTGCATTATTCAAAAGTGTTGCATAAACATAAGACGAAAAGGCACTAGGCCTGTAAATATTCCTTGCAAGTTAAGTTATTAAGCCAAAATGTTTTGCGGAGAAACAGGGAGACAATGGTGAATGAAATGGAGTAAAAGAAGCTAAGCAGAATTCAGAACAAAACTAGTGATCATTTCACAACTTCTCAATAAAGTTAGTGATTATATAATCTCAGTTAAAGAAATTTTGATGTTTTTTTGATGTATTACTACAATAATGTTTGATGCTTCAAGAAGGAAACTAGAAGAACATACACGCTCATGACATAAGTGCAAGAGGAATTTCCTGATATACCTAGTATAATCTTTATACATGACATGCCATGATGAAGGCATAAGTTAGGCCTGTTGGTCCAAAAGATAAGAATTTGGCTTTCTTACCTCCTGCTCTCCCATCAGTGCTTCTCCATATTTATAAGCAAATGTGACATTTGGAATTACAGGAAGTGAAGGAAGAAAAGGAACTTGCAACAAATAATCTGCTGCAGAAGATTAAGCAAATTGAGAACAACCGCAATGATGTAACACAAGAAATCAAAAAGCTGAATGAGAAACTAGGAAAGCTTACAGTGATATCAACTTCTTCAACTGAACTAGCGAATCTCTCAGATGTATGCATTGAGGGGCTAGGTTCTAACATGAGATTTCTAAAAGATAGTGTCACAGTTAACCATTTAGCAGACTTTCCCAGATTTATGAGGCCTACTGTTTGTAGCCGAAGTAAATCAGGAAATGCTGGAGTAGAAATCCAAGTCTTAAAAAGTAGAGCATTGCTTCCTCCTAGAAAAGGAAAAAGATCCTCCCACTGTGCCAAGTCTGTGGCTTTTCCCGTAGAAGGAACATCAGAATGTTATTCAGAGAGCAGTATTTCCAGAACTAGCTGCCTTGTTGGTCCAAATACGAAATTCAGTGCAGATAATGAGACAGAATTCAGCCATGACACATCTGATAGTGACATAAAGGTGGCAGTTTTTGCGAAACAAGATTTATCAGAAAGAGATTCAAAGCATAAAAAGTTTAATCTGAGACCCAGCAGGAATAACCATGCAAATACAACCGAAAAAGTATTAACCCAAAACCACTCAAAGGTTGATAATTGGCTTCAACTTCACAAGTATGAATCAAATACAAATAGGTGCACTCATAAGAACAAAAGAATTCTTGCGATACCAATTCCAGGGATGAAAGCAAGGGCCAGAGGCAGGATGGCACAGGATTTACATGATGAACAGGTCCCAGGCGAGGGTTTGAGAAAAAGAATCGCGAACCATCAAGATGCAAAATCAGCTGATATGGAGAATCATATGGATTTGAGCTCCGAGTTAGAAGCAGAAGCTAATGTGTCTCATGCAATTTCGAAGCGCTTTATGGATTATGAGAAGTCATATCCTGCACTTCCAGCATGCAATATTGATGAAATAACCATGAATGGAACACAAGGTCAAGTATTTGATTCAACAACTGAGATCAGTGAATGCAGCAATTTTAGTGCACCTGACGATTTTAATGATCTTAAACTGATTATGCCAGACATTGAGTATCAAGAAAAATATAATATGTCAGCATCTACAGTCAACAGCCATAGCATAGGCTTGATAGAGAGTCCCTCCAGTTCAAAGAAGAAACCAAACTATGAACAAATGCTTAAAATGGAAGAAGAACATAACTTCGAGAATATGCATGTCTCAGGATGCTTTAAAGGAGGAATAAAGCCCTGCTACTATGGGCTCAGATCTCCTGGTGCTTTGTCCATTTGCAAAGCAAATCAAATAGATTATTACCCTGATCCCAAATTACTTAACAATACCAGAACCAGAGGTAAGACTTTGAGATCCCATCTTTACTTGTTCATCCAGTTAGTACAAGTCTTTTTGCAATAAACAAGAGGACGGAGACCATTGCCTTCTTGTGTTTTTATCTTCAGCGTAAACTAAGTTTATGTCCACATTCTTATGCTTTTCTACTTTGTTTTTCTTTTTGTCTTATGATTTTCTCAAATTGCATCTGCAACAGGGTTCCTTCATCTTTTGAAACCAAAAGTACAAATCTTATTTAGCAGCATTCTTGTCGCATTGGGATTTGCAAGCCTAGGTCTTGGGCATGACTTCTTCTATGCTCTGGCTCTCTAATCAACCTGCTTATCACATGTCAAGACCTGATGCACGTTTGAGTTCGCCTTTCGAAAATTCGGTGATGTAGTTAATGAAGAGACAGAGAGATGCCCAACGGCTGCTAGGCAACTTTGAGGCTACATTCGTGCAACACTGGCACTCAGAGATTTCTCGGTTATGAAAAAGTAAGAAAATAAAAAAGAGATGCCCATTGGCTGCGAGGCAACTGTGAGGTTAGAATCTCATTACCCAACTCAAACTGTTGATAATGCAGGAATTACATATGGAAGGGAACAAGGCATTAACATGTCTTTATGTGTGGTGGTTCTTTTAAGTGCCATCTCAATTCTCATGATTCTTGAAATCAGGGTGAAAGGTCAATATGTACATGTGCCAAATATTGATCCCAAGATGTTTAATAGTAAATTCAACTCTTTGGAACACCTAGATGCTGTCCAAGATGCACCTTACTAGTTTGTGTTAGCATTCTTAAGTATCAAATACACTAAAGAAAAGGAAAGGTCCAAGTTTCCCCCCCAACTATTGACTTTTGTTCAATTATATCATCTATTAGAAGTTGACAACAAAAACCCCTTGCCGTTACCCAATACGCCCTTATTCTGTAACATAGCTCCAACTGTCCAGTTGGATCTAGGCTGGAGCTGTATTATTGCCACGTGCGATGACATGTGGAAAACAATACACGTTGACCCATCAATGCTGTCTTACATGAAATTTCACCTAAATCCTGAAACAAGTCTAGCCTGATGTAGACAAAATCTTCTATTAACACTTAAATATGCATTCAGAAACAAGCTAAGCGCACCCAACTAGCTAATCCAAACTAGAGTTTCACGAAACTAAGGTAAATTATTTTTTTTATAAGTACGAAATTAAGGTAAACTATAAAGCAGTAATTAACAGTTGTGCGCATCCAAAAGAAAACAAAAAACTTTAAGCAAAATTGACAGGAATTGCAGAGATGAAAAGACATTCAAGGACTGCATCTAGTTTCCTCCAACTGATTCACGGAGAAGCTAAGTTGTTCGGACACGGCTGGGGTGTCCGAAACGGGTGCGGATCTAGAGGTCGGATCCTTCGAGATGTAAATTCTAAGAGTCGGGAATACGGATCCTAGTACGGATACGGGTGCGGGGATCCGGCTAAAAATAATTCAAAAAAATAAAATAAAAACATATCTCTAAATTATGAAAAATTATGTGGAATACTTACGTATAGCTTGTAAAGTGTGGATTTCTTTTTTATTCTCAAGTTGTAGATAAGTAAAGGATTAATTTCCTAGATAAGGTATGCTATTTTCTTCAAATTTACCCTAGTTTTGGTTCTGATTTTGGGAATCAAATTGTATCTCGTCTCGAATATTTCTGTCCGTCGTGGTCAAAGTATCCAAAATTGTTTGACCAGATCCGGTAAGGATCCCATACCCACACCTAATGTTGTCAAACGCATGCTTAAGCCCTGAAGCAAGGCTCAAAAACAAGTTGAGCGCTTTGCCTCGCTTAGCAGTGCTTCGCCTCACTTAGCGGGCGCTTGAGTGTCGTCATTAAGGCTCTAAGGAACACTTTTTCCAATGAGTGTAATCCTAAAGAGGCGACACTAAACAATTGATATTTCACTTTATCGTAATTCTTCTTCAATTTCTTTGTCCATATATTTGTTATTCACACTTTATAATTATTCGTCTTGGACTATACATATATATTTGTATTTTCTCCCCATTTGCGTCTTTCTTCATTAAAGCTCACGCTTTATTTGCGCTTAAAGCTCCAACAACCTTAGAATTTTTTTGTGCTTTTCGTCTTTGATAACACTGCATGCACCCATACTAGTGTCGTGTCGACACAGGTGCGGCACCTAAACTGCCATGTCGGAGCAACTTAGCCAAGAAGTGCCAATGACTTGTTCCTGACCATATCCTAAAACTGAAGGTTGAAAATGGGCAGCTCACAACCATTAGGCTTCCAACTCCAATTCAAGCAGTCAATATCAGGTCTTTTGTGCTTCATACAATTTTGGTGCTCGTGGACCGCAAACAGGTCATCTTGGTGTATGAAGCATCAAGATTTTGATGTATGAATCATCAAGATTTTGAACCCATTCTCCAGTGAAGATATCACATGTCTCGGGCTCTTTAATTTTTGACTTCTGCTCCTTAGCATAGTATGTCGGTCATATTTCAGATGGATGGGTTACTAAATCTGCAGAGTACCAATTGAAAGGTGGTAAAGAGGGATAAGAACCAGAATGATTAAAATGCTAAAAGTATGAATATTCTTTGGGTTCTTTGAGCTGTATTAGAGTTTTTAATAAAAGAAAGCTACATTCCTGGGAGATTCTTCAATGGAGGATTGGATGCGAAAGCAGAGATGGGAGAGAAGTCATTATTCACTCTCAAAAGTGCTACAGGTTTCCTTTTCGTTTCCTATGTTTCCACGTATCTACTGAACTAGCTCATAAATTTACATGTATTATCCATGTATCAGCTGACGCCAGACATGGACAATGGTGAAAACCAATGAGGAATCCATTTGCTAAGCTGGAGAAAAGGAGCAAATATGATACAATCGGGTAATGGCGAGGGTATTTTTGTTGCCAAGTTCATATGGAGAGCAAGGTTAACTGTAAGTTGACAGTTAGCGGCAAATTTGAACCTTTTCCAGTTTTCCCAAAAGAAAATGCAAGATAGTTTATAGATCATTTAAACCATAAAGTATAAATTCCACAGCGGTAATAGTATGGAAACAGAAAAAGGAACCCCCACGGACAACAGCTTCACAGGATTTAGAAGGAAAATTCACTTTAAGAGCAAATAAAATGCATTTAGTAGGACTTATTGCCCCACTAAACAAAGAAAATTCAACAACCAGCTGAAACATAATTCAAAAAGAAAGCTAATTTGTTATCCTTTAAGCATGATATATCACTAGCTTAGTGACTCCGCTAACTTGGTCAATCGGGTACCAGTCACCAACACTAGATTCGAAGTGGGGGTTGGAACGGAACAAGAAAGAATATTGGTATTAATCACATTTGCATAATACATTTAGTTCTTTTTGATGTCAAGTGCTATGAAGATCTTAAATTGTGTTCTCCTGAAGTTCTACTTACTTCACATTTAGGCTAAGTTGCTGCGACAGGGCAGTTTAGGTGCCGCACCGTGTCGACACGACACTAGTATGTGTGTGGGTATGGGATCCGTACTGGATCTTGTCAAACAATTTTGGGTACTTTGACCATAACAGACGAAAAAATTCGAGACGAGATATAATTAGATTCCCGAAATCAGAATCAAAACTAGGGTAAATTTGAAGAATTTTTTTTTTTTTGAAATATTTTAGCCGGATCCCCACACCCGTATTCGTACTAGGATCCGTATCCCCGAATCTTAAAATTTACATCTCGAAGGATCCGACCTCTAGATCTGCACCCGTGTCGGACACCCGCACCCATGTCCGAGCAACTTAGCATTTAGGTGCACTTAAAGCTGCTACACATAAGTTGATCTTCTGAAGCCAATGGTCCTTGAAACAGTCTGTCTAGTTAATACAAAATTCTACCCCTTGTCTTATAAGTGACCCTCGTAAAGGTTATCAGCATCAAGCAGCTCTTCATACCCCCAATCTTCATGCAGTCCCATCTTTGATACCTTGTTCAACTGTGATAGAATTCTGCATATCCTCTCGCACTGAAAATGTGATCTGTCTCCTGAATAGAAGTAATAAACTCTGTTTTTCACCTTGATGAAGCTACCGCCTGGCAACTTTTTGACACCTGTGTCCCTCATGATCTTTCTTGCTACCCTAGCTTCACTCCACCTACCAAGAGCAGCATATGTATTGGACACAAGGGAATAATTCCCACTGTTATGTGGTTCCACTTCAGCTAGATGCTGCAGAGCTTGCTCCCCAAGTTCAACATGACCTTGCTTCCTGGCTGCAGAAAGAAGTGATCCCCAGATCGCTGCATTTGCTTCAAAGGGCATCGTTTTAATAACATTTGCAGCCTCATCGAGGTAGCCAGCACGCCCTAAAAGATCGACCATGCAACCATAGTGTCTGATGTCAGGACTAATACCATATTTTTCTTCCATCATCTTAAAATACAATCTGCCCTCCTCCACAAGACCTGCATGGCTACATGCAGATAGTACTGCGATTAAGGTGATACTGTTCGGCGTAATTCCAACCATTTCCATTCGAGAAAACATGTTAAGCGCTTCTCTTCCATACCCATTGACAGCCAATGCAGAAATAATTGTTGACCAAGTAACAACACTCCTTGTTTCCATGCACTCAAACAATTCTACTGCCTTTTTAACACTCCCTGACTTTGCATACATATCAATAAGGGCATTGTTAAGCGGCACAGTTCTGCGTAACCTGTGTTTTATAGTATAATTATGGATCCATTTGCCCAACTCGAGTTCACCCAAGTGGGCACAAGCAGAAAGCGCAGCTAGCATTGTTACCTCATCAGGCTTGACACCAACTTCTGCACTCGTCATTTCACGGAAAACACCAATAGATTGAGAAAACTGATTCCCCTGAGCATACCCTGCAATTATGGTAGTCCAAGAAACCACATTCTTCTCCGGCATATTATCGAACAAGTACTTCGCGGTATCCATATCACGAGCCTTAACATAACCCGTTATCATGGTATTCCACAACCCCACATCTCTGTCGTGCATTTCATCAAACACCTTACGTGCATCCGAGACGCACCCAAAAGAAGAATACATCCGTACAACCGAGCTTGCCACATGTATGTTGTTATTCAATCCGGTTATAATAGCCTCACAGTGAATTTGACTGCCGGTGCTAAGACACGTTACAGCATTCAACACAAAAGGGATAGAGTAAGTATCATGATATACGCCAATGGCTCGAGCTTGTTTATAAAGGAAAATTGCATCTTTTAATAGATATTGTTGTTTAGAGAAAACACTGATCATAGTGTTGTAAAGATAAATGTTTGGGTTGGGGTTCGAAGTGAAAATTGAACAAGCATAATTGACAAAGCCCATGGAGGAGGAGCACGTGTGGAAGAATTGGCTTAAAAGGAAGTTGTCTTGATCTAAAGCACGATGTAGCATGAAGCCATGTGTTTGATAAATGTGATTTTTGTGTGAACATTTTTTGAGCAAAGCTAAAAATGAGTCTTCTATGTCGAATGGGGTTTTTTGGAGAGGGAAGTTGTGGTAGTTGCAATGGAAGTTATTGGAGTTGGGTTTTAGTAGAGGGTGAAGAATTTTAGAGGATGCCCGGGAAAATGAGCACAGCATTTGCTTGTTTGGTTTAGCGCCTGCAATCCATTTCTTGCAATTTTGTACCAAAGTTCAAATAATTAAAGCCACAAGCACATACGGGGGAAAATTGTGACTTGTTTAGGTGCATGAATGGAGGTATCCCGAGACTATTAGGTGCGAAAAAAGACACTTCGAGTGAGGGGACATTGATCTAAGTCGATGATAATTGCACTTCATTAGTTGACTTGGGGTTAGATTATAATATTAAAAACTTGTATAATAGATATTATACATGTTTGTACTTTTGCGTATATCACCAGTCTAGTTTACTGTGTAATAGTTCTGCCTGTTTTTTTGTGACCGTTAGTTTTAGATTATATTTCCTTTATTTCTTGTATTTTAATTCGTCACTTGTTTTAGTGACTTTTAGTTGTAGATTATATTTCAGTGATTTCTTTTATTGTAAACTTGTCGCTTGTTTTGGGATAGGGTTTGCGTAATGTCCCTTAGATTATAGTGGCTTTGATGAATAATGATAGGGTAAAGTTTTGTCCTCGAGGGGTTCATTGCGGGAGGGGGAGTGCGGGGAAAAGGGGGTAAGAGGGCTAAGGAAGCCATCAGGCTGAGAGTTGGGTCTTAGAACATAGGAACTTTGACTGGAAAGTTTATAGAGTTAGCAAAGATTCTCCGGAATAGGAAGATTAATATAACTTGTGTCCAGGAGACTACATGGGTAGGAGCTAAGGTGCGGGATGTGGACGGGTTTAAACTATGGTATTTTGGGAGTGCGGAGGGCAGGAACCGGGTAGGTATTTTGGTTGATAAGGACCTTCGGGAACTAGTGGTAGAGGTTAGGAGAGTGAACGATGGGTTGATGACTATTAAGCTAATTGTTGGTGAATTTACTTTGAACATATTTAGTGCGTACACACCCCAAGCATGCTTGAATGAGGAAGAGAAAAGGCGTTTCTGGGAGGATTTGGATGAGATGGTGTGTGGGATACGACACATTGATAAGCATTTCATTGGAGGAGATTTCAACGGCCACATTGGAGCGATGTATGGGGGTTATGATGATGTGCATAATGGCTTCGGTTTTGGAGGTAGAAATAGATGAGGAACTTCATTGCTAGATTTTGCTAGAGCATTTGATTTGGTGATAGCAAATTCGAGTTTTTCGAAGAAGGTGGAACATTTGGTCACCTTCCGAAGCTCAGTGGCCAGGACCTAGATTGATTATCTACTCTGCAGGAAATCCGATAAAGGTCACGGATTGCAAGGTCATCCCGAGTTATAACCTCACGACCCTTCATAGGGTTTGGTCATGGACCTTGAGACCGCGAGGAAGAGGGCAGTGTATGGACAACCTAAAATCAAGTGGGGAGCCTTGACTAAAGACAAAGAGCTAGAGTTGGGGGTTAAGCTGTTGACTATGGGTGCTTAGAGGAGTAGTGAGGACGCGAGCGTTATGTGGACCACGACTACACAGTGCATTAGGGAAGCTGCCAGAGAGGTATTAGGGGTCTCCGAATGGCTACTTTGGTGGTCACAAATGAGACTGGGGGTGGAACGAATAGGTCCAAGAAAAGGTGAAAACCAAGAAAACAGCGTATCTGAAACTAGTGGAAAGCATGGACGATGAGGAGAAGGGGATGAATAGGGAGTGGTATAAGTTGACTAAGAAGGAGATGAAGTTAGCAGTTACGGCGGCTAAGACTATAGTGTTTGGTCATTTATATGAAGAACTTAAGGGTAAAGGCGGGGATAATAGGATGTTCAGGCTAGCCAAATTAAGAGAGAGAGAGTCATGTGACATGGACCAAGTGAAGTGCATCAAGGACGAAGAAGGTAGAGTTTTTTTGGATGAGGCGCATATCCGTCGAAGATGGTCAAATGGTAGACTTACTTCCATAGTCTCTTGAATGAGGATGGGGATAGAAACATTATTCTGGGTGACTTGGAATCCTCCGAGAGTCGTTGTGACTTTGGGTATTGTAGGTGGATTAGAGTTGAGGAAGTTGTGGGGGCTATGCGTAAGATGAGCAGGGGCAAAGCGACAGGGCCAAATGAAATCCTAGTGGAGTTTTGAAGAGTATGGGCAAGGCGGGCTTGGAGTGGCTCAATAGTTTATTCAATGTCATCTTTAGGATAATGAAGATGCCTGAATAGTGGAGGTGGAGCACGATGGTTCTTTTATACAAGAATAAGGGTGATATCCAAATTTGCAACTACTATCGTGGTATCATGCTCCTTAGTCATACTATGAAGGTCTGGGAGAGCGTGGTGGAGTTAAGAGTGAGGAGGAGTGTGTCTATTTTCAAGAACCGGTTAGAGTGTACACCGGGGTTTTCAATTACGGAAGCCATTCACCTTGTTAGGAGATTGATCGAACAATTTAGGGAGAGAAAGAGGGACTTGCATATGGTATTCATCAACTTAGAAAAAGCTTATGATAAAGTCCTACGGAGGTTCTGTGGAGATGTTTGGAGGCTAGAGGTGTACATGTGGCCTACATTAGGGCGATTAAAGACAGGTATGATGGAGCAAATACCCTGATGAAGACAGTGGGAGGGGTCTTGAACCATTTCCAGGTCATGATGGGGTTGCACCAAGGTGTCGGCACTTAGCCTTTTTGTTTGCCCTCGAGATGGACGTAATGACTTGCCACGTGCATGTTTTTTGAAGACAACATTGTATTGATTGACGAGACACGAGGCGGTATTAACGCGAGATTAGAGGTGTGGAGGCAGACCCTGGATTCTAAAGGTTTCAAGTTGAGAAGGACCAAGACAGAATATTTAGAGTGCAAGTTCAGTGATGCGACTCAAAGAGTGGAAAGGGAGGTGAAGATAGATTCACAAGGCATCCCTAGGAGAGAAAGTTTTAAGTACCTTGGGTCTATTATATAGGGAGTGGGGAGATTAACGATGATGTCACACATCGTATTGGGGCGCATGGATAAAATGGAGACTTGCTTTAGGTATTTTGAAGAAGTGAGAATTTTATATACATCTTGAGAGATGTTTGAAACATCTCTTGGGATGCTTGCAACATCTTCATGGATGTTTTTTTTCTAGTTATTTGAAATGTGAGCGAAAAAGAAAAAAATTGGTGGGATTTGATGAAATGAGAATTGCGCAAACAATCCTGGAGATGTTTCGGGATGTTGAAACATCTTTCAAGATATTTATGTTTCAAACATCTTTCGAGATGTTTGAAACATCTCAAAAAATGTTTCAAATATCTCCAATATAGTCCAAACATTTTGAAAATATTAAAAATATTTCTTCAGATGTTTCAAACATCTATATAAATATTTGACATCTCTCCAAATTATTTCAAGGAGGAGCGACGGGAGGAGGAGGAGCAAAAAAAGGGGAATGGGGGACGATGAGGGGACTTTGTGTGAAAAAAAACTCCGGAGTATCTTTTCCTATATTCAAAGACTCAAAGGTCACTTGTAAATGAAAGCCCCAAGTATCCCCTATATTCGAGTCTGAACAAAATATAATGGCATTTCTGAGTTGAGTTAAAAGTTAATTTTTCAGTTAACAAAATAGTAGAAAAAGTACAAATACTACGTATCTAATTATGACATTGTCAAATTATAACCCCTTTACTAATTTGTTTCATAGAAAACTCTGAAGTCTACGGTTTGAGGAATTTTTTAACTATCTAGTCTAGTTTAATTGGAGAAAATAAAAAATCGTATATTATTCTCACACGTGTTCTACAAATGATCAATTTTTCCAAATATCCGTCTCCTAAAGATTATTACAAAATCTACTTCACAATCACAATAATTTTATCTTTCCTAAATTTGGATGTATTAACTAAGACCTTCAACGTCAGGATCGGAGGCTCCTGAGGCCAAGTCGAAAGCACCCATTCAATTTGCAATGTCGTTTAGGTGTGGGATTAGACACTCTCAAGGGAGTAAATCCTCAGACACGCTCTCTGTAAGTACTATATAGATTAGGGGCGGATACAGGGGTTGAATCGTTGACCTCTAAGATGAAAAAAGTAAACTATACCAACAGGCCAACTGTGGTTTGATGTTCTAAAGCAACAATGTAATGATCCCAAACCTTCAGGAAAAAAAGCATTTCGACAAACTTACACCCTAATTCTAAAGAACTAGTCACTTGTCCGAAATTTTTACTTTTCTATACTACATATAAAACTTTATTACCCTCTAAAATTAAGTTTTAACTTAATTACATGGTCATATACAATTTACCAATTATATACAAATTAGTTTTAAATGAGTATCTATTTATATTAGGAATTGAATAAGGAATCAGTTATTTCTCATCCTTATTCTCTCTCTCTCATGCGCGCTCTCTCTCTCTCATGCGCTCTCTCTCTATCTCTCATTCTCTGTTCTTTCCCCAATTTTTCTTTCTGTGATGTTCTCTACTTTTTATCCTTTCATGTTATATATATTTTTAATGGAATTCATCAATGGATTTCAATCGTTTTACTATATAGTTTTAAGTTTACAATTTTCTTTCATGTTGCACAATTGGTGTTCAAATTGAAATTGTCAATCAATAAATTTTGAAGGTGTTTGACTCTCCACAATTGACAGTCATTAAAAAACGTTGAAGCTTTGAATTCGAATTTGATTTTTCAAAAATCATTATTTGTTTAGATTGAGTGTTGTTGCGAACAATTGGGAATATTGTTTGGAGTTTATAACTCAATTTTGAGGGTGTTTGGTGAAGATTAGACTTGATTTTGGCTAGAAGAAGAATACAATATAGTTACGAAATTGTATTAATATTGTATTATAATTATATGTAAATTGTATTCTGTTGTAGTTATATATTTTTTTATTTGAATGTTGTATGAAAGTTGAAAAATAGTTGTATAATGTATGAATCATTGTATGAAATTTGTATTTAAGTTATAAATACTATTTGTTTTACATAAAATTGTTGATATGTATCAAAATTGTATTAAAAGAGAAAATTTTGATTGAAATTTCAGAGAGGAAGAAAAACACACTACATACAAAATATATACAAATCTTTTACAAAATACATACATAAGATATATTGTATAAATTTTATATGAAAATTGTATTTAAATTGTATGATGTTGTAGTTATATTTAACTGGGTGAAAATAATGTATGAAAGTTATAGATAAGTTATATATTATATAATTAGTTGTATAAAATTTATTTTTAGTTTATATGTTGTTGTAGATGTACCAAATTTGTACGAAATTTATTTTTAATTTGTATGATGATGTACCATACAAATTTATCATCATCAAGTTTATATTGCTGTTGCTGCTGGTGCTACATCGACAAATATGGAGGCATTGAACATTTTACTTAAATTTCGAGTTTGTCTTTGACCAAAAATTTAAAATCTCTTTCAGAAGCTAAAGAGCAATTATACTTTTAAGAAAATTAGTTTCTGGACACGTGTGTTGCACGTGTATCCCATATCAAATCAATATAAATTTTTTTTAATGATTTAATTGTTTAAAGTATACATGAGTGGGATGAGTAACATGAAATTTTAATGCAACATTATTTGGCATATTCTCTGTGAAGTTGAGGCCGGTTAGTACAGTGTGACAATGTGTAATGAACTTAATTTTGATGTTATTAGGTCCAAACATGCAACACAATCGTATCTCACACCTAATGTTTTATTTTGAAATGATATATGTTTCATTCTCAAGTTTCAACTGGTATGTCATGACCAAAACTCTTGACATTTATGTAATTTTTAATTCACAGTTTGTACATACATTACTCATACTATCCTGTGAGAACTATTAAAAAGATTCTACACGTCAAGACAACAAAATTATAATAGAATCAAATAAAATCCAATATTATTTATTCAAGAATTATTTACATTTACCTGTCATTAAAAAGCTAACTATTGAGGGTACAATTCTTGCAACCTTATTTTTCCAACTAAAACGACCAAGCATGACAGCCTGATTGAAGAGTTCTAGCTCTTAGTTCTTCAGCCACCTAATAGTACTTCTTTATTTCAGTTGTTAAATGATTGGTATTGGCTAACCCACCAAAATTTATAGAACATAAAAAGATAAACTAAATTTAAAGTAAAAATATTCAAATGTTAAACAAATTAAGCATTTGTACAGGTTACTATTACCAAATCACTACAATAATCTTTATTGTGCTTTAACATATAAAAAATAGTATAATTTCCAACATACATTCAAATACTATCGTTACATAAATTTATAAATAGTTATATATTGGTTCTCCATGTTATTTTAAAATATCTAAAGATGATGTAATAAATACGACGCAATAAAGCAGAAGTAGTCACCTCGAAAAATTTCAATTTAAAAACGAATCTTCAAGCTAGAAATAAAAATCACTAGAGAAATAAAAATAAATGTGCACGGACAGAAAGAGGTGGTAGTGCAGTACTTTTTCCAACAATCAAACCTAAAAAAGCAACAAATAGATATCCTTTCAATTTTTATGTGTACGAAACTTAAATTTATGACAAAAATAATTGCTTACTTAGATGGTTAACAGAGTTGATGCATGAGCAATATCAATGAAATCCAAGACACAGACGCGTATACGAGCTAAACATTGAAGATTAGAAGATAGAATAATGAAGAAGAAGAATGGGTATTAAAACTCCTCTCCTCAAAGAGAACGTCCATGTCAATGGTTCACGAGTTAGGCAAAATCTGTAAGTTAATACTCTTGGAAGTTTAAAAGAACTCCAAAACCTTGAATAGATATAGGAAGAGAAAAAGCAATTAAAGCATTGAATAGGCTGCAGTAAGCGGCAGTTGCAAGGAAAATATTCTACCCGTCTATATACCCAATTACCTGATTCATTATTGTACAACTTCATAATTATTTATTGGAAGGTAAGTTTTAGGTACAAAAATATTTAAAAATTAGAGTTTAAGTGGGGGGTAAAATAGCCATTCAGTTTTTTATGGACATTTTAGTAAATCAACTTTACCTAAAAGTCTCAATACTTATAATATAGTATGATTTGTAATCTTCTTTAGTAACTCTAACTAATTGACATTTAGTAACAACAGAGAATAGAGAAAGAGAAGATGAGAGAAAAAAGGAAAAGAGTGTAACTTAATTCCCTAATTTAAGACACTAATAATATTTAGGGCATATAATTTCCAAAACTGGGACAATATTAGTAATAAGGTTTCATATAGTGTATAGGAAAGAAAAAACTCCTTTGCAATTTTAGGGGATTGAACTAACTCACTTGTAGTCAGTCATTTGCTTCTCCCTTTCATCTAGCCCCCCTCCCCCCCAAACCTGTCAATCCCCTTCGCCCCTCCCCAAATTGATGCAAGGCAAAAAAAGGAAAGTATGGAAATGAAATATACCGCTTGGGGTTGGGGGGGGGGGGGGGGGGGGGGGGATAGGGGGCATTTCGGAGCGCGATCATTCAAAAGTTCATGATACTGAGCAGTACGCTCTTGCCTGAAAATAAACACGAGAGCAATGTTCCAATTAACCAAACTTGGCAACTTACGATTCAGAATAATATGTTTAGTCCAAGCCACAGCAGAAAGTTCCTCACATGGTGAGAAGCTCAAATCACGCCCAAAACAGTAAAGATGAACTTAAATACGAGTGTGTCATTTTATGCTACAAGCCTTCGCCTTACATAATGGTTTATTTGTCTTATTGCCCCTCCTATTGATGATTGACATTTGACTTCATATTCCCAGCTTAGAACAGAGATACCATTTTATTCAACTTGAAACACCCAATGACTAGACAGAAAATAAACAAAAGGATCACAATTGTCCGCCCATCAGCTCCAGTGCATGGTTCCAGGCCTTAGGCAACCATTCATCAGCATTCATCTCTGTGGAGAGTCAATTGTCCGAACATTTGCACCTGTAATTCCTTCCAGCCGATCTTTACTTATCTCCACAAAGTGACCCACCATTTCATGAAATTGTTTCAGGCCAGAAAGAGGAAGAATTATGGAAGAGCGATCAGAACCTGCCACCTGCAAGTTACAGTGAGAACATGACATAAGAAACAGAGAAGACCAAATTAGAGTGCTTTTAATTTATATGAAGGCTGCGAGAAAGCCAAACCTCAGATATTCTTAAGAAATGGCCCCGGTTGTTACTCCCAAGATCAAAGAAGAATCTCTTTTGGTCAGCCCTGATTACTTTGGAGACCCCCAAGTTACTAACTTCATCAGCTGCTGGCAGATCAATGGTCCGTTCTACACTCAAATCAGCTGTTGGGCCAGATTGAGAAGAGTGACTGGATATAAAACCGGCTCCTACATCATCTGAAAGCCCAAGACGCTCTGAGGGTTCCGAAGTCTGCTGTGTTCGTGCATTTAACATTCAAACAAGAGAAAATGCAACTATTATTTTGAGAGAGACCCTTAAAAAGGGATACAAAATGGCAATGACTGTAAAGTAACCTGACTGGGCGAAATAAATAGCCTTGAGGCTTCATTGATCTCTGCCAAAATATTCCTAAATGCTGCCCATCCCTCATCTTGGGCACTTCCTGCTGGAACAATAATTGTACTACGGTTCCTGCTAACAGATGCTTCAGAGACCTGCATGCATTACTCTGTTAACAGATAGAAGTACAAAATCTAGGGCGGCAAAACCCTGTTATCAATCAAAGTACGATTGTTCTTCTAGACATAGATAAACTAAGACGGCAGTCGATAATGTCATGGCTAGCCCGAGAATCAATTGATAGTACTTATATTTCTACTTGTGTCTTGATTCAGTTTCTCTTATGTTTTTCTTAACTGTGTCCATTTAAACTTCCTTTTAAATTCATAATTCTAGGTATTTCAGTAGCTTTTGAACCCCTACACTACACCTAAAACCCCAGAATACTGCAGATTAATTTCCAATTGGGTCTAAGAGACGTACGGGAAATGGGAGTTTGTTCCAGAAGAGTTTCATCATTACTTATGTCACAATTGGTTTGAGATTCTTCTAGACATTTTCTTTTCCTTGAATCACTTTCCTGATATTTTGACAGTATAGCAGTCCTAGACTTCTTCATGTTTCCTTAATTTCAGAAATTAGCCACTGTTCATAATGCCAAAATGAAAAACTTCTCAAAATATCACTGTGCTGTTTTCATTACCAAAGTAAACCTGTTACAAAATTCAGTAGAAAAATAGAAGGAAAAGAATCTAGCAAGGGGACAAATTTAGATATCACCGGATTGCTTAGGCAATGGAGCTAGGGTATGGCTGCAAATAGAATCATTCACACAAATAGAAGAAGGTAGAGAAGGGTCATGCATTTGTAAGGAATGTTCTCTTGCCAAAGAAAGAAATATTTGGTGATTAAATATCGGAGAGAATTCAGGATATAGATTAAGTCACTTGGGTAGTGAAAGGGGGAGAAAACGAGAGGGCTCCTGCTCAAGAGGGCTAAGAGAGGAGTACATTATTCTTGTTGATTGAAATAAACAGAGAAGGAAAGAAGCAGAAAATAGGGTACTGGACAGGGGTCCACATTCAGGTTTAGATAAATTAGGGGGAAAACCGAAGGCTAAGGACAAGATGATGGTTACCTCAAGGTCAGAGAAGGCAAAACAAGTCACATTGAAGTTGCAGGTTAATAAAAGAGAACGCATCAATTGGCAAACAAGTGGTTCAAATCAGAGAAAACTTTGACCAGTGATTATCATAGTAAATTACGAAATTGTAGACACTAAGGGATAATATTACCAATAACCTATATTGCTCGGACATGGGTGCAGGTACCCGATACGGGCGTGTATCTAGAGGTCAGATTCTTGATCACATAAATTTTAGGATTTGGGGTATATGGGCCCGAGTGCAGATACGGGTGCTGGGATATGGCCAATAAAGATATATTATGACATAACAGTATATATTTCGATTAATTTATGTTATTAAACTAAACCTAATAAAATTTAATTATATAAACCCCTAATATCTTACTCATAAGATATCTCGCTTTATAGCAAAGCGTTCTCATATTCTTTATTAGGGGTGCTTTGATTACATCTTTGATTGAGAAGTATAAATTAATTGAGTATTTGGTTCGATTATTGGGTTTATGCCATATATATNCACCCTAGGTAAGTTGACCAAATCCGGTGTGGTCTCACGGATTTTGAAGAGTCCGAGCAACTTAGCCGACAACAATCTTAGCAAGCAGAGATCACAATAAAACGCCTCTCAACTAGGATATAACCAACTTCAAAGTATCTAGCCAGATCTTTTACATTTTGTACGCAATATTAAAGGCAGCTCACTCAGTAGAATTTCACATTCAATCAAGCCACAGTGACATCACAACACAGTACTCAAAGCTTCCAAACATACATAAAGTATAACCATCTTGAAAATGTTTGCCAACATATAGAGTGCTAATAATTGAGAAAGACACATGTAGCATCCACCACAAGAGGAGTATCCAAGTAAAAGGCCTCTCAAGTCTCAACTAGGATTTAACCAACTTCAAAGTATCTAGCCAGATCTTTTACATTTTGTACGCAATATTAAAAGCAGCTGACTTAGTAGAATTTCATATTCAATCAAGCCACAGTGACGTCACAACACAGTACTCAAAGCTTCCAATCATACATAAAGTATAACCATCTTGAAAATGTTTGCCAACATATAGAGTACTAATAGTTGAGAAAGAGACATATAGCATCCACCACAAGAGGAGTATCCAAATAAAAGGCATTGCTTAGTTGGAAAAATGGATCTGCTATTACATAATTCAGGTTTGGATGACACAGATAGCTATTCAATTCCATTCTAATTTTTGGAGACTCGGGTTTAATTGAAATTATGTTAGGACTCATAAACAAGTAGATGTAACTAGGCAAAGGGAAAGAACTACTCTAGACAATAAAATTCGTGAATACTTTCCTGGCCAAACAGAAACGCTTTTATGAACTCTTTGACTTGGTTCCTTATCTCCCCCAAACTCCACCTGTATAGGTGTCACACATACGTACACAGATACATGACAGTGATTTTCCAACAAATTATTGGACACACAACGACGAGGACAGGAAGGAGTCGAATACACAAATAAAGTTTCTTCCAATAAATAAATTGATTATCGGATTTGACAGGAGCATTCAGTTGAGTTAAAGAACTTCTATATTTAAGACTCCTTCAACATCTTATAGTTTTTACATTTCTGCAGATCCTCAGCATCCACATTTTTCTCTGATTTTGTATCAATAACTCTGGAACCTTCTTAGTGTTCCTCTATTGCTATATGTGGCCCTTTAATAATAAAAAAGATTCATAAGCAAGGTAGAAAGAGCTTTGATCTTATGCCTATGTTAGTGAGATTTGCAATATACATGTTATTTGTATACCATCAAATAAATAATTTTACTACCTTCTTTTTGAAAGGAGAAATTGAGGTTATACATAATTGAACCTCTGACCTCCTCTAAGATAAGATACAACTAAACCAATGGGCCAAAGCCCCTCGTAACTAATCAAAAAAGAAATGTTTTGTTCATATATATGCAGGTCGAGAGAAAGATATTGATCATTTTGGTTCATGTAACAGGAAAAGAAATGCAGTTTACTACCCAACCCTGAGAAAGGGGTAGGCTTCTTCACATTAGATCATCAACATAGTGTCTGAGTCATTAACTGAAATCCAATTAATAGAAATTTCCTTTAAGGTTGGTGTAAAGGCAATCCGACATTAGATCATCAACATAGTGTCTGAGTCATTAACTGAAATCCAATTAATAGAAATTTCCTTTAAGGTTGGTGTAAAGGCAATCCGACATTAGATCATCAACATAGTGTCTGAGTCATTAACTGAAATCCAATTAATAGAAATTTCCTTTAAGGTTGGTGTAAAGGCAATCCGACATTAGATCATCAACATAGTGTCTGAGTCATTAACTGAAATCCAATTAATAGAAATTTCCTTTAAGGTTGGTGTAAAGGCAATCCGACATTAGATCATCAACATAGTGTCTGAGTCATTAACTGAAATCCAATTAATAGAAATTTCCTTTAAGGTTGGTGTAAAGGCAATCCGAATAATAGCAATTCCTTCAAGGTTGGTGTAAAAGGAACAGAGGAGTAACAAATTTTGAGTGCGATAGCTGTAATCCTGATAGCTAACAAAGAAAACAATTATCAAAGTTACCAATCTAGCCAAGCCATGGTTGTGTAGGTCCTTTGGATTTCCTTACATGAGAATCTACAGATGAACCCAAATTTATATATTGGTCACCATCACAGTGGCGGAACAAGAAATTTTAACAAGGGGATTCAAAAAATTCAAACTTGCGATGAAGCAATTTTTGAACTATCTCCCTTATGTAAAAAGGATTCAGAAGTTCATACATATATAGATGAAAGAAAATATTTTTAATCTATTTGGGAAGTATGATATTTCGACGAAGGGGATTCAATTGAACCCCTTCCTTAGCTGTAGCTCCACAACTGCTCTCACATGCCAGCTACTCATTTAACATATTTACTAAAAATCAAAATCTCAATAATGATTACGAATTAAGATTAGACTTGAAGAAACAGCCATATCAAATGAAACGTATTACTATTAAAACAGGGGGAAAAAAAAAAGCCTAACAAGGTCAGTAAAGTAAAGTAACCTTGAGAAAGCGTCCTCGTCTATTCTCCCCTACATCAAAGTAAAACACCTGCAACGTTTAAAAAAACCAAAAAAACTACATTTATCGAGAGTTAATGACAATATAAAGTAAAAAAAAAAAGTTATAGAAAATAAAAGGCAAAATCAAGCCACATATGTATGTCATAATAATAATAATGTGCCTTGGTATCAAGTTGGAGTTCTTTGCTAAACACGTCCTGTTGATCATCATCTGAATTGACATAGTAATTGAATAGATCGAGGAACCATGAGATGCCGTTGAATGGTACTATTATAGTAGACCTTGTTGCCGACGTTTTCTCCGATATTTTCAAGTAACGCCCGCGTGGATTCTCCTTCAGGTCGAAGTAGAAAAGCTTGTGTTCTACCTGTAACGTCTTGCACAGCAACTCCACGTCGTTTCCTCCTCCGCCACCGCCACCGCCACCACCACCGCCGCCGGAATTTCCCTCCATCAGCACTCACTCACTCTTCTTCAACTTAAAAATTAAGAAATCAGTGAGAAATGAATGGCAAAACCGACATTATGGAGAAAAAATTGGAGGAGTGATTGATAGTTGGGTGAATTAGGGTTTGGGATATTTCAGTGGGTAATTAGTCGTTGACCAGTTCCACTTGCTAATCTGAAAATGAAAATGGCCTTCGTCACTTCGCTTTGCTTTTATTTTAAGTTTACTGTACCAGTACATCTTATCATCTTATGGGTTTCTTTAAATGATAAAGACCGTTGGATGGGGGTGAGCTGAACCGTAACCGAAAATATATCCGGTAAACATGCTTTCTGTTTTTACTCAAATTCTGAGTTCTGACTGCTTTTGTTGTGTAGGGATCGATTCGGTTGGCCTTTTCCACAATGTAAATTAGTTTGGCTAAACGTCCAAAATTTTTGAAATTTGTAACCATTTTTATTTGGCCAAATCATTTAAGAAGTCTTTTTGATAATATTACAACAACAAAAAATCAATAAATTCCATATAATCTCACAGGTAAGGTTTGGGAAGAGTAGTGTGTACGCTGCTTACCTATTTCATATGCAGATAGAGAGGTTATTTTTGATAAATCCGGCTCAAGCCAACAAAGTCACAGCATTAAAGCAATAGATATATAGTAATAAAAGGAGTTATGAAAAAGCAACAACAACAGCAGCAAAATAGTAACAAAGCAAAAGCAACCTTTGATAGTGATAGACATTCAAGAATACGACAAAATAAAAGTAACACTAAAACTAATGATAAAGGACAGGAAGAAAGTTTTGCTACCTACTAACATTTTACTCTAATTTTTGACCTTCATAATTTTCTATCAAGGGTTTCGTTCTCGGTAAGCTGAAAAAACGTCATATCTTACATAACCACATCTCCCCAATAGTTCTTTGGCCTTCCTCTACTTACTTACTTTGGATTACTGACCCCAGATACTTAAACGGTTAAACCTTACTCTCTAAGGGATGACTTGTGAATCTAGCCTCACTCCCACTCCAGTTTATGTCAATGAACTTGCACTCTATTTATTCGGTTTTAGTCCGGCTCAACTTGAAGCCTTTGGACTCCACGGTCTGTCTCTAAACCTCCAACCCCGCGTTGCCTCTGCCTCATATCTCGTCAATCAGCATTATATCATATGCAAATAACATGCACAATGGCACATCTCCCTGAATGTGACGTGCCAATATATACATCGCCTAGGCAAATAAGAACGACTTAAGAGTCGATCCCTGGTATAACCCCATCACGACTGGAAAGTGCCTCAAGTCCCCTCCTACTATCTTAACCCTGATTTTAGTATCATCATACATATCCTTAATCGCCCTAGTGTATGCCACAGGAACATTTCTAGCCTCTAAGCACCTCCATAGAACTTCCATTGGGGGTTTGTCGTATGTTTTTTTCAGATCAATGAACATCATATGCAAGTTCATCTTCCTCTCCCTATATTTCTCCATCAATCTCCTTATAAGATGAATGGCTTCAGTGGTCAATCATCCCGACATGAAGCCGGACTGGTTTTCAGATATAGACACACTCGTCCTCACCCTCACCTCCACCATCCTTTCCCAAATTTTCATAATGTAGCTTAACAGCTTGATACCCCTATAGTTATTATAATTTTGGGTATCACCCTTATTCTTGTACCGCAAAATCATCGTACTCCATATTCATTCCTCTAGCATTTTAGAAGTCCTAAAGATGACATTAAACAACTTAGTTAGCCACTCTAAGCCTACCCTGCCTCGCGCTCTTTCAAAAATTCATCGGGATATCGTTTAGCCCAGTTGCTCTACTCTACTCATCTTACGCATAGCCCCATCAACCTCCTCAATCTTTATACGCCTGCAATACTCAAAATCACGACGGCTCTATGCTCCAGTTCGTCTAGCACAATGTTCCTGTCACCCTCCTCATTCAAAAGGTTATGGAAGTATGTCTATCATCTTCGTCTAATATGTGCCTATTCCACCAATACTTTGTCTTCCACCAATAAGATTAAAAAAAGGTATGTATTTGGTCCATCTTTTCAAAAAAATATTTTTAAGCGTGAAATTATGAAAAAGAATATGCCCATATTTACTTTTAAAATTAATATTTAAAAAATTAACTCTGATTGCTTTTATATATATCCTCATATTTATGAATAGTATCGAAACATAGCTTTAAAACGAGAAAACGGCAATATGGTTGGTCATCCGGTACTCCATATATAAATCTTTAATCTAATTCATTCTCTTTTCTTATCCACTTTATCTTTGAATTTATGTTGTAACCAACCTTTTTGAGACTCTCTCATCCTTTTTGAAATTCTATTATCTATAGTTCTCACTTTCCGATCTATCCAAATTCCAAAGTAGTGAAAGTACAGAGACTCCATTTATCTCTCCCTCTCCTTTTTTTTAAGTATTCCCGTAAAATGATTATACTGGCCAATCTTTGTTCTACTCTTATGGAGATATCCTGACTCCATTCATCTCTCCCACTTCCTTTTCTTTTCTTATTAAAATATTAGAAAAAATAACATTGCATAGTCGCTTTTTTAAAATAATAGCAATTTATTTTTTGTATATATATATATATNCCGAATATAAATAGTTTCTGGCGCGGATTAAAATGATAATACCCCAAAATATTACCTAAAATGGTTATACGAATATATGTCTAATCTTTGTTCTACTGGAAATATCCTACCAAGAAACTCCATATAGCTGAAAGTTCTTTGATCTAAAAGCTACCACGTATCTAAAAGTTCTTTGAATCCCCACTTTGAATGTCAGGACGTCGTTGTCACTGTAGGTCGTGATGTCGCGCAACGTTGCTGTTAGACAAGCTGACAATAACTCAACACGTCGATCGATAGTTCATGACACATTTTTAAAATAAGTAATGAAATCAATAAGCGGAATCGTTCCGTTTGGAGTAAACTACTGACATTATCTTCATGGTTTGAATATGATCGAAATATAAATCTGAATGTTATAACAGAAATACAACTGAGGCCAATAGCCTAAATTCTCAAATCGGGTGTCACAAGTGCATGAGCATCTACGGGAATATACAATACTACTACAATAACTGTCTGAAATAGGTGATAGACAGAATACAATAAACGAATAGGAAGGGACTATGTGTATTGCGGACCGTGACATAGAAAGTAGCTCACCACAAAGGCTCCTCAGCAGCTGCACCTACGCGCATGTATGACCACCAAATGCACATGTCTCAGTATCAGCACAATTAGTGCAGAAGTAAAGTATGAGTACGTAAATCAACGCGTACCCAGTAAGTATCTAGTCTAACCTCGAAGAAGTAGTGCCGAGGGGTTGACATCGACACTTACTAGTGATCCGATAATTAAAGTACAATAAAAGCATATAGGTATGAAGCATAGCAAGTAGCAACTAAACAGATAAATATGTATGACATGATCCTTAACAGAAGAATAAATACGACATCATCAAATGCCAAATACTTCCTCAAATATAATGTATATGACCAATATCCGATGTAAATGTCAAATCCGAGTCAGGATACTCACACAGGCTCTCTATTGAAATATCACGCTCGATTCTGCCAAGACGAACAACCCGATCCTATAAGAATGATCTTACAATATCATGTTGACGCAAACGACCTGATTCTATAAGAGTGGTGTTACTATAATCCTTCTGAGGTCGTACGGCTTGATCCATAAGTGTGTCTCATAATACTGCCGAGGTGAACGACCAGCTTCCATAAGAGTAGTTCTGAGGCGATCATCATGATCCCATAAGAATGGTGATACTTTCGATGAGTCATTATCCCAACTCACAAATATACTTACGAGTTAAGAAATCATGAATCTTCCAGACAAATGAGTACAATACGGGAATGAATCCATACAAGGAGGTATAATTTTTGCGGCTAATCAAGTAACGCGCCAAGTCTCTATAATAGCAAAGTTCAGTACTCTACGCAAGTTTAGTTTCAGGCTAAAACATGAATTACAACATTCAAACAAGCAAGATTAACTCAAGTAGCATTACAACTTGGTGTGAATCTAAATCTACCCGGACATGCCAAAATCCAGCATACGCATGGATGCTCATCATTTCATACGTGCGTAGCACCCATATCACGTAGCACGTGCAATTAGAATCCCTACGAGGATAAATTTCCTTTTACTTAGACAAGAGACTTACCTTGATCCGAAAATCCGATAATCGGATCCACACCTCTCTAACAAGCTAAAACAATGTCAAACGATTCGAAACTAGCCAAAGAACATGCAAACCAATCAAAATATACTCAAAACCCCGTAATTTAATGATTAGAACAAATTCACAATCCCACGCGAAAAGTCTATAAAGTCAACCCCGAGCCCACATGCCCGAATCCCAAAAATATTCAAATATAAATATTACCCATAGCACCACGAATTCAAATATATAATCTATTTCAAATTCTATGCCTGAATTCGTGGTCAAACTCAAAAATATCATTTTAGGTCATCTTCCAAAATCTCATATTTTTCCTCATCAAATCATAAATTTACAAGTCTAAATTCATACACATTCATGAAATATAATCAAAAGTGGCTTAAAAACACTTACCCTCAATAGGTGGGTGAAAAGGCCATTCAAAATCGACCCAAAATCGTCTCCAATTGATCCCAAATGAAAAATGAAAAATGAAAAGAAATTCTGAAATTCCAACTTATAAGGTCTACCCGGACATTGCCCTTCGCGAACGTGGTACGTGTCTCGCGTTGACAAAGATCAAATCTGCTTCTGCCGAAAATCCTCTTCGCGATCACGATATGATGCCCGTAAACGCGATGCTCTGCCAGCCCAGCCTTACACAAACGTGACCATCCCTTTGCAAACACGAATGACCTCCAGTCCCAGCTTCTTCTTCGCGAATGCGACTTCCTTGTCGCGAATGCGACTTCCTTGTCGTGAACGCGTAGTACCCATGCCCAACCTTCACGAATGCGACTCACCCAACGCGAACGGGAAGCACAAACGACTACTAACCCAAATCCTTCATTGCGACACATGCTTCCCACCGCGTTCGCGAAAAACAAATATGATTATGGCAGATGATGATTGGTGGGGGCGAAAAATTAAGGTACATCTCTCATATTTTTATATGTGTTGTTCTTATTTTTTTCATTGTTAATTTTATAATTTTGATTAAAGTAGTTTTGATTTTCTTTTTT